TCAGTATTTGTTGTTCTGTGTGTACTTTATTTCACTTGGCATAGTATTTAAGGACCATCCATGTTATAGCATATATCAAAATTTCTTTCCTGGGGTGCCTGGGTGGCTCAGTCAGTTAAGTGGTGACTCCTATTTTTTTTTTTTTTTTTTAAGATTTATTTATTTGAGAGAGAGAGTGTGTGCATGCATAGAAAGGGGGAGGAGCAGAGGAAGAGAGAAACTCAAGCAGATTAATGCACTGAGCATGGAGTCCTATGCGGGGCTTGATTTCACGCCACCTGTGCCAGAACCAAGAGACACTCAACTGACTGAGCCACTCAGACACCCCACATCCAACTCTTGATTTTGGCTCTGGTCACAATCTAAGGGTCATGGGATTGAGCCATGTGTCTGGATCCTTCCTCAGTGGGGAGTCTGCTTGAGAATTCTCTCTCCCTCTCTGTTTGCCCCTCCCTCTGCTCACACGCATTCTCTCTCTCAAATCTTTAAAAAAAATTCCATTTCTTTTTATGATTTTTTTATTGTGTATATATGTCACATTTCATTCATAAATCTAATCATCTTCTGATGGATGGACAATTGGGTTCTTTCTACCTTTTTGCTGTTGTGAACAATGTTGCCGTGGACATTGGTGCATAGATGACTGTTTGAGCCCCTGCTTTCTGGCTGAGAGTGGAATTGCTTGAGTTATATAGAATTCTGTGTTGAACTTTTTGAGGAATTGCCATATTTTAATGTGTTTAAACACATTTAACATGTTTACTTGTTAATGTGATTTTACACATTAATTTGTTTAATGTGTTTTCAAACTTTATATAAATGACATCATTTGTACATATATTGTTTTTTACTGATCTTTTAGATTTATCATTGTTAATATGTAGCTGTAATTTGTTGTAGTTTCTGTATAGTATTTTATTGTATACATTTTGTAATTTAATCATGTATCCCTTAATGGTGGGCTCTTAGGTTGAACTCTGCACCCCTGTTTAAAAACAGCTCTGTAGTGAATATTACAGAAATCTTCTTTTGCATATGTGCAGGTCATTAGGGTATATACCCAGTAGTAGAATTGGAGTATACAATATGTTTTTACAACTCTACTAACTGTTGCAAAATTATTCTCACACAAAGAGAATGTGGGAGTTTCTGTTTTCCTTATTCTTTGAATGCTTAGGTTATCTGATGGGTGTGAAAATGGTGTTTAGTTGTTTCATCTTGCATTTCCTTGGCACCTAGTAAGGTTTGCCGTCTTTGCCTTTGTTAAGTGACTTGTCAGTTTCGTTATGTGTAAATATCCTTTTCATAACATCTACCAGTTCTTTTTGGGGTCATTTTATCTCTCTAATTAAATTTTAGGATTTTTGGGGCGCCTGGGTGGCTCAGTGGGTTAAGCCGCTGCCTTTGGCTCAGGTCATGATCTCAGGGGTCTGGGATCGAGTCCCGCATCAGGCTCTCTGCTCAGCAGGGAGCCTGCTTCCCTCTCTCTCTCTCTCTGCCTGCCTCTCCATCTACTTGTGATCTCTGTCTGTCAAATAAATAAATAAAATCTTTAAAAAAAAAAAAAAATTTTAGGATTTTTTTTTATATGCTGAGAGTACTAATCCTTTGTCTTATTCTGAAAATCTCCCAATTTGTGTTTTTATGATATCTTTTTAATGTAATACTGTGCAGTCCAGTTTGGCAGTCACTAATATAAATTAGATTTAATTTCAGTTTAATTAAAATTAAATTATGCATTCATTTCTTCATTAGCCACATGTGCCTAGTGGCTACTCTCTTGGACATTGCTGATATAGGACATTTCTATCATTAGAAATTTCTGTTGTGGTGCGCCTGGGTGGCTCAGTGGGTTAAGGCCTCTGCCTTCGGCTCAGGTCATGATCTCAGGGTCCTGGGATGGAGCCCTGCATCGGGCTCTCCACTCAGCAGGGAGCCTGCTTCCTCCTCTCTCTCTGCCTGCCTCTCTGCCTACTTGTGATCTCTGTCTGTCAAATAAATAAATAAAATCTTAAAAAAAAAAAAAAAAGAAATTCCTGTTGCCTAGTTCCTGATAGAAAGTTTTAAACTGTAATGGGTTTATCATAATATTTCATTATGGATTGTGGTTTTTATATCTTTTATGAGAAATCTTTGAGCACCATTATGTCTAGGAGGTATTCTCTTAGATTTCTTTTAAGTATTTTGCTTCTCTTAGTAGGTCTAGACTCCATCTAAAATTTAATTTTATGATGTGAGGTCAGGATCTGCCCTTTTTATATAGATTTTTGTTCTAGCATTATTTTTTTAAAAATAATTTATTTATTTGACAGAGATCACAAGTAGGCAAAGACGCAGGCAGAGAGAGGGTGGAAGCAGTGTCCCTGCTGCGTGGAGAGCCCAATGTAGGGCTCGATCCCAGGACCCTGAGATCATGAACTGAGCCAAAGGCAGAGGCTCTAACACACTGAGCCACCCCGCATTATTAATAGTTAGTCTACTCTGCCAGGAGATGTAATGCTGCCTCTGTCATTTGCCAGGTTCTTGGTGTGTCCTTCTTTCCTCATGGGCTTTTTCCCCTGGTATTTCAATTTTTCTTTTTCCTTTTCTTCATCTTTTTTTTCCATATCCTTTTTCTTAACCCTTTCTTCCTTCATTTTGAATTTGGGGTCAAGTTTTGATAAGTTCCCTTAAAAAACAAACTTGTTGGGAATTTGTTTATAATTGCATGGAATTTACCAAATGATTGGTGAGAATTGGTGTTTTTTTTTTTTTTAAGTCTTAATGTTTTATTTTTAAAAAAAGATATTGTCAAAATGTTACATGTGATTTTTCACCTACACATAAGCAAACCATAAAATACGGGGCAACGAAATCAGTGATGAAAGAGCCGAAGATTCGTATGAGCAAGGATTATTCCCAATTCATCGCAAGCCTCAATCACAACTTTGTCAGCAGCAGAACCAGAAGGAGCAGCAATGTAGGCCACACCGCTCCTTTTAGCTCTGTCTACATTATCCCTGAAAGGAAAGAAGGCATCAGAGCTGAGAGAAACTTCACTAAGTTTGTCAACCCATTCCTTCTTCTCTGCTTCAGTTAATAATTCAGGCACTTCTTCAAACAATGCCTTCCACTTTATCAAATCCTCATCCTCGCCAATGGTTCCAGTAACATACTGATCAATGGCATTGGAGATTTCTGCTCTCTTCACTCCAGTTTTAAACTTCACTGAAAGGACTTGTGGATGATGTCTAAGCCACCAATAATTTGCTTTATCCCCTGCAAGGCGTGTGCAGTGTATTCGAGACTGCTGTCCTGCTCCAATGCCGATAACCTGACCATTCTTGGCATAGCACACGGAGTTAGACTGCGTGTACTTCACAGCAATGGTGGCTACAATGAGGTCTCTGAGCGCAGACTCTGGCAAATCTTTATTCTTGGTCACCACGTTGCTAAATAATGACCTGTCGATGACACCATTATTTCTCTTCTGACTTAAACGAAGACCAAAGAGAGTTCGAACTTCGTTTTCATCTGGATTGTAGGACTGATCCATCTGAAGAACACAGTAGTTTCCATTTTTTTTTTTAGAAAGTATTTTCAAAGCTTCATCTTCATATCCTGGGGCAACAATACCATCAGATACCTCTCTGGAGATAATTTTGGCAGCAGGAACATCACAAACATCAGATAATGCAACAAAGTCACCAAACGAAGACATCCTATCAGCCCCTCTTGCTCTTGCATATGCAGTTGATATGGGTGTAAGGGTTTTATACAGATCATAGACCATGCAGACTTTGGCCTCGTCTTCACTGAGTGGAATTCCAACAGCAGCACCTGCTGGGCTGACATGTTTGAAAGAGGCAGCAGCTGGAATGCCTAAAGCTTCTTTGAGTTCCTTCACCAGCTGCCAGGCATTCAAAGCATCACACAAGTTTATAAATCCAGGGGCTCCATTTAGAACTGTGATGGGAAGCTTGGGCTTCAGCGTGTATAACTGGGCAGGAGTTTGATGAAGGTTCATTCCATACCTCAAAGGCATCTGAGATATTCCTTTACTATACTGTCTCCTGAAGTAATCTGAAATTGCTTCATCATATTGTGCCGTATGAGTGAAGGCCTTCAAGGCTAACTGACGTCTGGTCTCCAAGGAGGTGTCTTTGCTGTTGGAGCTCTGCATCTCTGTGGACACAGCTGCATAGTCCTCGGGTTCACATACTACTGTCACCCGAGCATGGTTTTTGGCTGCTGCTCTCAGTAGGGTTACTCCGCCAATATCAATCTGCTCAACAGCCTGTTCAACAGTTACATCTGGAGAAGCCACTGTCTTCACAAAGGGATAGAGATTGCAGACGACAACTCTTATAAGACTGAAATCAAGTCTGGCCATGTCAGCATTATCTTCTGGGATATTACGAGCCAAGATTCCAGCATGGACTGCAGGATGCAATGTTTTCACACGCCCCCCTAACATTTCAGGAAATCCTGTCAGCTCAGAGACATCTCTGACTGCCAGACCTGCATCCCTGAGAGCTTTTGCAGTCCCTCCAGAGGCGATCAGATTCAAACCAACTGAAGTTAGGTTTCTGGCAAATTCCACAAGGCCCGTTTTGTCAGAGACACTAAATAAGGCGAGCTGGCTGGGTGCCATGGCTGCGGGCGGCGGGGTCTGGGCCAGGCGGGGGCGGCAGCGGTAACACCACGTGCGGAGGGGCGCCGAGCCGGTCGAGAATTGGTGTTTTTATACTATTGAGTCTAATAATCATTTTATTGTAATTTTATGCCCCTCAGTAATATTTAGTAATTTCCTCCTTAATGGTGAAACACATCTTCTAATAGGATTTTTATTGTCTGTTCAGGTTAAAATTTGCATTAATGAGACTGATGTGTAAATGAGTTGCATTGGTGTTATGCTAGCCCCATTAAGTGAGCTGGGCAGCTTACTTTGTGTCTTCTTTCTGTTTTCCAAAATAACTGATAATTTGGGGTTTCTAGAAAATTCCAAATGTATTTTTCAGCTTGCAAGCAGTACTTTGAAAAGTATCCAGGAGATCATGAACTCCTTTGGGAGGTTGAAGGTGTTGGACACTGGTACCAGCGGATACCAGTCACCAGAGCATTACAGAGAGAAACACTTAAAATTACAGGTAAGAATTACAGGTTTCAAGTTGAAACACATGTCAGGGTTAAAGAGCAGAGCCTTTTAATGTTTGTGGCTCTTAGTCTGGAGTTATGGTATATTGTAATGTGACCTCTCTAGTAACAGATCCTCTTTTCTAAAGTTTGAATTTTTGTTACGTATTAACATTTGAGTCACTAATAATAAGAGGATTTAGAATTATAATAGCCCAGCAGAGTCTAACATTCTAGGAATTGGTGGGTAAGAAGGAAACACAGATACTAAAGCAGCATAGAATAGGCATCAAGGAATCAGAGAGTAGTCCCTGGTCTTTCCTCAAAGTCACGAAATACAGATAACTAATACTTTTATAATGGCAAGTTTTCATTATAAGATATTGGTGAAGGAGATACTCCACACCTAAGTTTTCAACACCCTTCTGTTCAGGATGCTATTCAGGGCTTTTGTGAAAAATCAGTACAAACCATGTTTAGTTAAAACCAAATACTGATTGGGTTACAATTTTTAAAATTCTTCTATACACAGCAGTTTCTCAAAATGAAGCTAAAAGACCTATGTCTGGAGAATATGGTCTTGCATCTGTTCCAGAATATGAAGCAGAAACTGAAGACAATCAGTCTAGTGAGATGCAGCTAACTGTAGGTACACTGTGTGTTTATTGTAGGAAATAATAATTTTTGTTTCTTTAAACTAGCTTCAGCTAATATTTAATTTTGTAAATGTTAGTGTTCATCAACTTATGTAATTTTAATTTTTTACTGTGTTAGTTTTCTTGGAATCTCCTGTTAATGGCTTACTAAGGACTTAGTTTTCTTTGAAAAATAATTTGGAATCACACAAAATAATATAGAAGAAATAGAAGAAAATAAAAATCTCTAATCCCACTACCTCAGATACAGCCACTGTTAACATTTTTCTATTTGTATTTAATATATATTATAGAACATTGTCTGTATATATTTTTGTTTCCTGTTATGCTGCTTCTGTTTTTCCTCCACTAACATAATATTATAAGCATTTCCATGGCATTGTTTCAAAACATGATTATTAAATAGCAGCATACTATTCTATGTAAATACCATTGTTTAGTTCTATAACATATTACTTAAGTTTTTTGCGTAAGTGGCTCAGCAGTGAACGCATTCATATATGCATCTTTTTGCCTATGTAATTCTTTCCTTGCACTGATAAATTTCTAGAAGTGAAATTAGTAGTAGGTCAAAAGTTATGAAGTTACTGTGGAAAGTTTGAGTCTCTGTGCCAGGTCTTTGTAGAATGTAATACATTTTGAAAGTACTAGGTAAATCTTCCAGGGACAAGTGCTTTGGGGAATTATTTGTGCCTCTTATTTCTGCCTTGATTAGTGTGAGTGTTGACTGAACTTTTTGGAAACGTTTTTAAGGATAATGTAAATCATACAATCCCATGTAAGGAGTTAGATTTTTCGTTGTTATTTTTTTCTACATTTGGAAATTCAAGCTAAATGATAACCCCAGGTTTGATAATATTGAGGTCCAAATTCCTCAGATACTCTTAAACTTAATTAGTATTGGTCAGACATCATAAAATCAGGGAAGGTAGACAAAAAATCTTTTCCCAAAATGTGGTGAGAACAGTGATTTACCTTAATAATAAGCCAAATAATTTTAAATGGGTTGTGTAAATGAGAATATATATTAAACCATGTCACAAGGGTGGCAGCATAAATTCAGTTTTCTTTCATTTTAGAAATTCATATTCTTCAAATTACTCTAAGATTTTAATTAGTTCAAGGGAAATATTTTTCACATTAAAATATTTTATCTCTCAAAAAAATATCTTATCTCTCTTTTTATTGCTAACCAAATGGGGAAGTGGTCTTGTTTATTTTAACCACATTGTTTTTAGCTTTGCTGAGGTATAATTGACAAAGATTGTACGTATTTAAGGTGTACAACTCGATGTTTTGAGATACACTGTGAAACAGTCACTATATGATTTATTCTTCAGGCGATGATGGTATTTCTACTTGCTTTTTCCTATTTTGTGACATAAAACATTACATGTACTTATACTCTTTGTACCATTTTAAAATGATTTTTATATGTGTGTTAACCTTGTCTAGTTCAACTGCAGGCTTCTTGAAGACAGGATTTTTGTCTTAACTGTCCCAGTTTATCCTTTTTTGTGTCCTGTCAGTGGACCACCTTAAAGTCTCAGTGCCTGCTGTGTCGTAGGGTTTCAGTAAGTGTGTGATGAACGAATGAATAGTAATTTATATAATGAAGTAGATACTTTGGCAAGTGCTAGATGTACAAAGATGTGGTTCTTACAAGCATGGGAGAAGTAGATGGTCCATTATTGGAACCAGATTAAATAAACAAACTACAGGATTATAATTGTCTTAATAGGGCAAATAGCAAATGACGAAGGTACATAGCAGAGTGAGTAACTCTACCCAAGGAGTGGAGTAGGTGAAGCAGCAACCAATCTGACTTTCAAGGGGCAGGTGTGAGTTTTGTGACAAAGGCTAAGGTTTTCCAAAGGCTAGTGTGTTTAAAAAAAAAAACAACAAAAACCAATCAAGTGTAAATTGGTTTTGAAGAGGTTGAGAGTTTATATTCTAGGCAGTAATAAACCATTAAATGTTTTGTTTTTGTTTTTGTTTTTTAAAGCAAAAGAGTAGCACAGTTTGTGATTTGGAAGCATCTTTGCCATCAGGTTGGAAGGGATTACAGAGCATGCGATAGAGTGAGGGATACCAGGGATGAGGCTCTTGGAATAATCACATTAAAGATGATAAAGGCCTAAACTAGAGAATCAGTAATACAAAGGAGGGGGCATTTGTGAGAGAGTCTTCAGAGTCAGAATTGAAGGCTTTGCAGTTCACTTAAGGACGGTTAAGAAGTCATTACTGACTTAACAGGTTTTTGGCCAGAATGGTTGACTGAACTGTTACTGCCATTAACCAAGATAGGGAATAATATTGGGAGAAGAGTTTAATTTGGAACAGGTTGGTTGTGAAATTGGATGGAGCATCCATATTTCTTTGGAAATCAGGAAAGAAGTTGGGGAGATGAAATTACAAACCTGGATTCATCAGTAAATAGATGTTGAAGTAAAGGTAGTAGATAAAATTACACAGGAAGAGCATGTAGACAGAGAAGAGGAGGTAGCTGAGGACAGGACACTAGGAAACTTCAATGAGTTGTACTGTAACGTATTAGGTGGCTTGGTACGGGCTCAACATCAGGATAAACTGAGGCTGTAACATCACCTTTTAATTTCTTCAGGTGAATGGTGAATAGTGAATACAAAAAGTACTATTTGAAAAATGTTTCATAAGATTTTTTTTGGCACTGACTAAAATAGATTCATAGGGAGGAAAAAACTAAAATGTTTGGTTTTAATCTGTATTTCTATTTTAGATTGACTCTCTAAAAGATGCCTTTGCAAGTACTTCTGAAGGTGAGAAATTGAGCTAATCTACCAGTATTTGAGATGATTAAAATTTAGGGGTGGGAGATGTCCCGTAGAGTAAGTGAAGACTTACCCACTAAGAATAGAGCTGAGTTCTAATGCCACCACTACCACTGGTCTTGCTATGTGAACAAAGTCAGCTACCGTACCTTTTTTGTCCTAATTTTCTTACCTGTAAAATAGAGTTATGTCTGCCTTGTTTATGTCCCAGGATTATTGGGAGACAATATAAGTAAAAATGCAAAAATACATTGCAGAGCTCAGGGCAATATGGAAATGTGAGGAATGAATAATGTGAAGTTATTTCATAAGTTAGAAAAAAAACTGACATTGTTTCTTGGCCTGATACAAGTGAGAGAAAGAAATGTGTAATTGTGGGAATATATGTAAGCTGTCATAGTTCTTACATTTCTGTGTATTATAACATAATCCTTTCAGGACATACTGAATTAATTGTAGTTTCGCTATTTTTTCTCAGGTCACGATAAAACACCGGTTTCCACTCGTACTCGAGGTAGTCATCTGAAGCGACCAAAGATTGGGAAGCGGTTTCAGGATACTGAATTTAGTAGTTCTCAAGGAGAAGATGAAAAGACACCCCAGACTTCACCTACAGCTTCAATAAACAAGTAAAGTATTGGTTATTTTACTGTCATTATTTCATTATTCTTATTTTCATATTTTTTAAAGGTTTTATTTGAGAGAGAGAGCACAAGCAGGGGGAGGGGCAGAGGCAGAGGGAGAGGGAGAAGCAGGCTCCCCACTGAGCAGGAACACCCCCAATCTCATGCAGTGCTCTATGCTAGGACCCTGGGATCATGACCTGAGCCAAAGTTAGATGCTTACCAACCGAGCCACCCATGTGCCCCTTACTTTCATGTTATTAGTATTTAGTATTTAAGGTAGAAGTTATTATTATATTATTTGTATAGCACATAACCTTGGTGTAAGACTTTGTATTTGAATTCTTGTACAGGATTGCTGATTGTACTCACTTCGATGTAGTATAGGGAGAAGTTGCTAGTGAGAGAATAAAATAAATCCACAATTTAATCTCTCATGTCTGAAAATCCAAGAGAATATTCTAGTAATTATATTATCCCAACTTTTATAGTAGCTACAGATTTTAGTACTGCTGAGGATTAGTCAATTTTTTAAAAAACCCTAAGTTCTATTTTATAATGGATTCATTATACTGGGTTACTGGATATAACACAAATTAGCGATAACCGTAAGCCCGTTCGGTCCCCTTCTCTAGGAACTTATTAATAGCCAGCTGAGACCAGAGAAAACTCAGATCAGAACTTTATCCTCTGTCTTCCTTGGAACCTTAAAGAAAGCAAGATTTCATATTTTATAAAAAAAACTTGACTTTTTTGTCCTAATAGTCTTACCAGTTAGTTGTTCTTGAGTTAACCATTCATAGCTTTGGCATTTTATCTGTGAAATTATTTTCAAGTAGAAAATTCTGTAGGTATGCTAATTTCATTATGTAAATAATCTAAAATTCGGATAATTGGGTAATTATGTAAATGTTTTAGTGATAAAGGCAAATATAACTATTTAAATCCAATAATTTGTGAAAAGAGGTTAGATAATTAGTTTTCTTCCTGTGTAACATTTTGATGTAATATCCTTTTTATTTTATTTATTTATTTATTTATTTATTTATTTTTTAAAAGACTTTATTTGTTTATTTGACAGACAGAGATCACAGACAGGCAGGCAGAGAGGAGCAGGGGGAAGCAGGCTCCCCACTAAGTGGAGAGTGGGATGCGAGGCTCCATCTCAGGACCTTGGGATCATGACCTGAGCTGAAGGCAGAGGCCTTAACTCACTGAGCCACACAGGTGCCCTGTAATATCCTTTTTAGAAGGGAATGTAACAGTGCATTTTATATTGAACATCCCAAATTATTGTGGAATTTTGTTTTTCCTAAGTAGAACAGTAACATAAGACTAAATGGTTGAATTCTTGCTCAGCTGTTATGAAGAACAAAATTTCATCTTTGTCCTTGAAGAGTTGACTGTCCGGTTTCTAATTCATTAGCTATACCTGTGACATAGGTTAAGAAACTGCAGGGTATGGGGCGCCTGGGTGGCTCAGTGGGTTAAAGCCTCTGCCTTTGGCTCAGGTCATGATCTCAGGGTCCTGGGATGGAGCCCCGCATCGGGTGCTCTGCTTAACAGGGAGCCTGCTTCCTCACTCTCCTCTGCCTGCCTCTCTGTCTACTTGTGATCTCTCTCTATCAAATCAATAAATAAAATCTTAAAAAAAAAAAAGAGAAACTGCAAGGTAGATTGTAGTAACAGAAGTACAAAATGGTATAGATGCAGAGGAGAGATTTGATTAAATGTGAGAGGATAGAGAGATTGGCATTTGGACCAGGTCTTCAAAAATAAGTTGAAACTCAACAAGCAGAGTTGAGAGAGAAGGTGTTCTAGTCCAGGATTCCACAAATTATGGTCTGTAGCTCAAATCTGACCTACTGACTATTGTTGTAAATAAAACTTTGTTGTAACAGTTCCACGTTCATTAACTTACATGTTTGTATGGTTGCTTTTGTATTACAGTGGCAGAGTTGAATAGTTATTCGGAGACGGTATCGCCCATAAAACCTAACGGAAAAGTTGGTTGATCCCTGCTGTATACCAGGGTTGTCCAGAGAACTTATTGTGATGATGAAAAAATGTACTTTATCTGCCCTGCCCAAAATGGCAGCCCTACTTTAGTATGCCCATTGAGCACTTCAAGTATGACCAGTGCATGGAACTTAGGAACTGAATTTTAAATTTCATTTAATTTTGATTAATGTAAATCATGACATGTGTTGTGGCTACCATATTGTACCATGTAGATATAGCATGAGCAAAGACAAAAAGCTAAGAGTAATATTAATAAGGATAACTGATGTATGATGTAAATGTTACCATCTAGTAGGAAATAAAAATATGAGAGTCTAGGTCCAGGCCAGCTGGGCGTTGTAGCAGCATGAGCGACTCAGTGAAGTATTTAGCAGTAGGATGAGCAAGAAGACCACCTTTGCCTGGTGGATGAGGCCTGGTAAGATAATTCATGCAGGGGAAGCAAGTAGCCATACTCTGAGCAGCCCTATGAGGAGGGACCATGTGGCAATAGTCCCCAAGGAATTGGGCCCTCAGTATGTTGGCCTGCATGATGAACTGAATGCTACCAGCAACCACATGAGTGGGGGGAGTTCAGGGTGGTTGGGGGGAGCACTGCCAGTCAGACTTTCAGATGAGTCTGCATCCCCAGTTGCTGGGTTGATTGTGACTCCATGAGACCGTGAGACAGAGGTACTCAGCTAAGCCCCACCTGGATTCCTAACCCCCAGAAACAAGATAATAAATGTTCGATGATTTCAGAGGCTAATGTGTAGATATATATGAGGGTTTGGTCATGTTAGCCTTTGTAAGGAAATACACTTTATTCTCTAAGCTGTAGAGAATCATCAGAGTTTTCTGAGCTGGACTGTCACAGGTATGGATGGGTTATAATATAACAGCTCTTACAGCTTCACTAAACAATGTATGTACTGCAAGTTCAGAGATGAGTTGGGACAAAATTATGGTGGTCCAGAGAGGGCCTAAAGGAGGATCATGAAAATGGAAACAAAAAAGTAGGGATATGTTTGAAAGGCATTTGGGAAGTAGAACAAAACCGTATCATTTACTGTCCAAACTGGTATCTTTGAGACTGAAAGGGGCATTATTAGTGATATGCCGATGCTGAGACAAAAGCTGTGAACTGGACTGTCTCAGGTAAATTGGGATGTGTTTTCTTTCTAATAGAATGAGAATCAGTGAGATATGGTTAGAGTAAAAGAAGATTCTAGCTTACATGATTGTGGAGATTGTGGTGTTACTATTCAAACTAGAGAACAAGGTAGCAAAGAGGACAACTTTGTAAGAAGAGGAGATTGGTTTTGGACCTTTAATATGGGAAGTTGTTCATTGGACGACACTTGGTTGATTGTCTGAAGTGTTACTGTATTAACAGACTTCTGAAATTTTATATTCATCCTTAATAAAACAAGTAAGAGTGGTTTTCTTTCCTAGATTGGAATCTACTGCACGTACATCAGAGAGCTCAGAAGAATTCCTGGAAGAAGAACCTGAACAAAGTGTGATTGAATTTGAGGATGAAAGCAGTGATAAGGATGCCCGGCCTGCACCGGAAACCCAACCACGCCTGGAAAAGCAAGATGGTGAAAAGGTATGAGATCCTGCTTATTACTAAATAAAGTGAATTGAAAGTAAACTAAATTTAAACTTTCTTAATCATATATTGTTAGAAAAATGTGATCTATTTTAGAGTCCTAGTAGAAGTTGTGCTTGATGCTAAAAAGCATAGCTCTATACTAAGCAAGGTCAGGTACTGGAGTTGGGGAGAGGATAAAGTTACAAGTATTGTTGCGTGTTTCACTGAATTTTTTTTTTTAAAGATTTTATTTATTTATTTGACAGATCACAAGTAGGCAGAGAGGCAGGCAGAGAAAGAGGGGGAAGCAGTCTCCCTGCTGAGCAGAGAGCCTGACGCAGGGCTGGATCCCAGGACCCCGAGACCATGACCCGAGCAGAAGGCAGAGTCTTTAACCCAGTGAGCCACCCAGGCGTCCCTCAATCTGAATTTTTAAGTGTGACTTACAGCAAAGGTAAAATTGAGGATTTTAGGTAGTAAGATCCCTCTGTATATTTAAAATACAAATTAATTTGAGAGATTAAACATAGTTAAGAAGTGACACAAATTATATATGATTATAAGATACACCTTATAGAACCAGTTAGAATGCCGTAAGGTCGTTGAGGCCACAGTTGCACCTGTATCTTGGCTAGAAGGTTAAAACAAACATATATATATATCATATATATATGTATATGATATATATTATATATATATGATATATATCATATGTATATGATATATATCATATATATATGATATATATCATATATATATATGACTAATTGATAATTTGACTACAATTGATAACTGAATTCATTTTTTTTAAAACAGTGGAAAACAAATGGGAAAATCCTTTGTGACCAAGTAAATTCTTTTTTTTTCCTGATTTCTGCAGCTCTTCTAGTATTTGTCCTTAACTTTTTTTTTTTTTTTCTCTTCTCTGTTCATTCCCTGTTCTCCTCTTTATCTTTAGTATCTTCCATCTTTGGCTCTGTAGAGATTTCTTATTTCTTCTTTCCTAGGTGCTTAAGATTCTTTAAAAGTCTTTTACCTGTTTGCCAAGTCCAGCCAGCATCCAAAGAAGTGTCACTATGTTACCAATTTTATTTCCTTAGCGTATTCCAGGTTAGCTCTTGCTTTCTCTGTTTCATGAAACTGTATTTTTTTTTTTTAAAGATTTTATTTATTTATTTTTTTGAGAGAGATCACAAGTAGGCAGAGAGTCAGGCAGAGAGAGGGAGGGAGGGGAGCAGGCTTCCTGCTGAGCAGAGAGCCTGATGCAGGGCTCCATCCCAGGACCCTGGGATCATGACCTGAGCTGAAGGCAGAGGCTTAACCCACTGAGCCACCCAGGTGCCCCCATGAAACTGTGTTTCTAAGTGGCATTTTTTTTCTTGTGAAAAATTTGGACAGTAAAGCACATGTTTAAAAATGTGCATCCAGACATTTGTGGGAATATAGTTATTTTTCTTGTAAAAACTTAAGATTATGCTATATATACTTCATGTAATGGGTTTTATTTGTCCAGCTGTACATTGAGCACATACTCTTATAGGTCACCAGTGACACTTGCATTCATTTCCAGCAGTTTTCCTCACCTAGATTGACTACTGTGTCTTCCTTAATATTCTCTAGGCCCCCATGAGGTAAGTTTTATAACACCACTCACTGTACTTTGGTTTCTTGGTTTTCCTACCTGAAGTTTGGTTTTGGTTTTATTATTTGACTGTTGTTGCTTTTTTCCCTTTATTCGTGGACATTCTAGAAGTCTAGAAGTCTAGAACTCAGTTCTTGGCTTTCTGCTCTTGGTTCATGTTCTCTACATGAAAATGCATCCAATCTAATGGTTGAACTCTCATTTCTGTGGGATGACCAGCAACTCTAGACTTTGAATATTAATTGAGACTATAATGCTATAATATTACTTATCTTTTGAATATTCTATGTAGACAGATGTCTTTTATCATCTTAAATTCAACATAATCTCTGTTCTTAGCACTCCTATATTAGACCTTGTGTGTGTGTGTGTGTGTGTGTGTGTGTGTGTGTTTAATCTTTCCTTCTATTCCCAAACCTAAAACTTGAAAGACAGGTTTTTCTCTTCTGTTGCTTCTCACTTTCAGTTAATTACCAGTATTCTGGGGTTTTTAAGCTTTTGCTGTGTTTTTTTCATTTTCTTCCTTTCAGCATTTTTTCTACCCTAGCTGATCCTTTTATGAGCTTTATTATTAATTACCTTCTGTATGCAGTCTATTTTTTTATACTGTCTGGCCAGATAAATTTTTCTAATCCCTGATTTCAGTATCCCTATGACTTTAGAGATCTTATGTAAACCAGACAAACCTATTTCTGAGCCCTTGAGTGCATCATTTTCTAATTTTTACAATGGTAATAAAATGCCCTCTATTAGAATGTCACTAAGATTCATTAGAACTATTAAACATTAAATATAAGTATTTTATATTGATAAACATTGGCAGAAGAGTTTCAGAATTGGAAGGTTTGTGTTACCTCCTCACTGATACTTCCGTATTTAATGTGATATAAAGAGTAGGATTGTTCCAAAAATGGCCCAAAATTGACTGGACAATGAGGAAACTGAGACAGAGTTTTCTTCTTCCAGCAAGAAGCTGTATCCAAACTGAGCTTCCCACAAGACTGGTAGTGCTTCCTCCCTCTGGCAGTGTAACCTGTTAACTTCCCACAGGCCCCAGAGATTCCAAGTGCTCATCAGCCGGTGTTTTGTAAAGAGCTGGCATCAAATCTAGAGTCTCTGGTGCCTTTTTACTGAAAAGATTTCACTCCTGATGGCCCTGTAAAGAAGAACAAGAAGGGGACAGTGTGTCTTCACTGCATCTCAGACCTGTCCTGTGTCTACAGAGCATCACGGTCTGCTGTCTCCTGTCCTGTGTCTACAGAGCATCACGGTCTGCTGTCTCCTAAGAACAGAGGGAGTTTGGGTTACTTGTGCCTTCTTCTCTTTTACTGACCCTGCCTGAAAAATTTAATCTTTTCTCAGTAAGACTGTTCCTTAACTCATGCCTTGCAATGTGGTAGACTTTATCTTGAGTCCTGGTGGAGACCGAGAATGGACTCACTTTACATGACAAATAAATTAGCCTGTAATTGTGTCTTGACTTATTTTTCCCCCCCAATGATGTAGGAATCTGAATTAGAGCCTATGAATGGTGAGATAATGGATGATACTCTTAAAACCTCACTTATAACTGAAGAGGAGGACTCCACTAGTGAAGTTTTAGATGAAGAAATAAAATTGCAGTCTCTTAATTCCAGCGAAGACTCTACTGCTCTTGTTCCACTGGTGGTAGAATCTTCAAAACCCCCTGATACTGTTGCACAGGATAAGGTAAGAAGGGAAATAATTTGTTTATAGTCAGACTGTTCCAGTGTTGGTTACATGGAAGGGGCATAATAATATATATATTTTCCTCTCCCTTAATATATATAGTTTTTCAGGAAAATAAATTCTATATTAATTTTTATGCTAGATTAGGTATTTTAAGAAAATACAATCAGTAATATTCCACAAATTCACATCTTTGTAACCTTAAAATACATACCTGACTTCTGGTAACAAAACAAATTTTATTTTGTAGATTTAGAGAAATGCTTAGGCAAATAGATAAAGCATTATTTACCAAATACTTGAATACCTATTGCTTACGTAGTCCATGACGAATAGTCATTTTAATTTGTTTTAAACGGAGACAAATTAGATTAGTGGGAAAAACCTAATAGACTATTTTTAAAGAAACTTCATTTTTACTTTCAGATATTCCAATTTAAGGCTAAAAAACTGTTGTATAGCATTAATTTATTAGTGTCTCAAATAAATAAATGAATAAAATCTCCATTGCCCTTCCCTGTCATCTAATGAAACTGTAGTCAAACTTTGTGTGGTGGCACAGTGTCAAGCCCCAGAGGACTCTTGGTTCTGGCTCCAGTAATACCAAGAAACTAAAAACTTGTAGTTGATTCATGGTTTAAAGAACTTTGATAAGAAGTTTGAAATGTTCTAATACTTTTTGAGGTAAAAGAATTACTTTTATTATATCTTTAAAGCAAGAACCAGGTTATCATGTGACAGTTTTGAAATAATAGACTTGTATTCAGAATATGTACACCTGATGAATGAAAGTAATGAGTCCTGAATTCTTGAAAATGCAGTTCATTATCATTGCATATTAATGTGTAATTTATATAAGAGCTACACTGCAAAATTTTGCTCACTGAGTTTTTTATTTTTAGATCTCGCATATAACTGACACAGAAATGTTGCTGGACGAAGGCCCATCTGATGAAAAGGGACACACTGAAGAGAAACTGCCCCTAGTTTCAAGAAAGAAAGCACATTTTGGGAGTTCAGACAATGTGGCTACCATCCCAAATGAAGAACGATCCGACAGTGGTTTTCCAAACTCTGTGATAGCTGAATTTTCTGAGGAATCAATCTCTGAAAATTTATCACCCAACACTACTTCTTCATTGGAAGACCAGGGTGACGAAGGGGTGCCTGAGCCCCAGGAAACGTCTACAGCTCTTTCTCAGAGCTCTTTGATAGAGGTTGAACTTGAAGATGTGCCATTTTCACAGAACGCGGGACAGAAAAACCAGTCAGAGGAGCAGTCCGAAGCGTCTTCTGAGCAGCTGGATCAGTTTGCGCAATCAGCAGAAAAAACTGTGGATAGCAGCTCAGAGGAAATAGAAGTGGAAGTGCCTGTGGTAGACAGGCGGAATTTAAGAAGAAAGGCCAAAGGGCATAAAGGACCTGCGAAGAAGAAAGCCAAGCTGACATGAATGAAGAAGATTTGCAGATGATAAACCCTCTTCTTTGTAACGTAATTGTTGTTTTTAAAATATGGTAATTAATAAATGGCATGGGGCACAGGGCAAAAATTCCAAAATTTCACTTTGAACTTATTTATGATGCCGGTTTTCCGTCCCCCTTAGGACCTAGGATTCACCCTTCTTTTTGATTTTTCAGGCTATTTTGTGTAAATACAATTTTTTTATTTTTATTAACCATGTTTCAACTTTGGGAAACCAGATCATACTATATTTTCTTTAGCAGTTGGGGATGTCTGGCCATTAATATTTCAGAAAATATAAATTACAGTGAAAGTAGTAGGCTTTACATTACTTGTAAGGATCACAGAAATCTTTTATACTATGGATTTTAATAGTAAACTTGGTGAGGGTTCTAGTAGTTTTATCTTAAAACTAATCATTTTTTAAAAATGTAGGCATGTCTAAACAAAAATGTCAGTAAATGAAAATATACTTCAACTAAGTGAGAGCACAAATAGAAATTTATGGTGAAAGGTTTGTGAAGGTGGTATTTTGGCCTCTTAATTCTTAGTTGTGTAGGTGGAGTTTCTTCGAAACTTTGACTTCAGTGTCTGAGGAAAGGTATAAAATCTGTTTCCACCTCAATCTTTATGACATCCAATATATACAGTACAGCTAGGGATTTAACTCTGGCATGTAGACACTAATATAATTATATAAAATATCATTTGAAGCTGGGGACTATTACTTTTGTCCTCATTCAATTAGCATATATACTTCAGAAATGTGAGGGCCCTTCTGAGGCTTCTCCTTAACCCTGCCACTGCCTTTATTCTAGAATCGTATATTCTCCTCAGCTTTCATCCACTTCCCTAACTTAGAGTGATTCCTGCCAAAAGATCTGCCTGCCTGTCTGCCAGCTTATGCCCTTGGCATCCATATCTGGGTAAGTTTGGACTGTGCCCCACAATCTTAGATCTAGACGGCAGGAATGGATCTGCCCAAGGAGCTATAGCTAAAAGAGCTTAGGTGGAATTGGAGGCTTTGGTTGTTGCTCTGGTCTTGCTCACTCTTAATTTGTTTGAGTACAGGTTACAAACTAGCCTGAGTGTATACATTGTGGTACTACAGCAAAGCCTTTGTGTAGAACTTAAAAAACAAATCCTCCTGTTAATTTTTATATAGTAATTTATTTAAAAATGAACAAAATTGTTATTCTTAGAATCCAAAGAGAATCTTTTTTAAAACAGTCTTATTAACTCTTTGGAAGTACTGTGTGTACTCAGATTTGCAGTTAATTTGGAGAATGCTTTGAGACCATTTAGATTGTTTTTAAAACAGCTTGGTCCTGTGTGAAAAAACCATGTTATGACATCATGCCATTATTTGAGGTACTAAGGATTAATGTCAAAGGTTTATCCAGTTTACAGTCCAGTGATACCATTAAATTTTATTTTGGAATGTTGACATTTTAGGTCTAATAAGCTAAGTTAAAATGTTTAAGGAGGCAAAACAGTAAGCCCTCCTGTTCATGTAAAATTTTGAGTTATCCTCTACATTTTCCTTAATTATTGGTCAGAGCAAGCCAAATGATTGCACTCCAAATGAAAATTAAAGCACTTTGGCCATTTGTTTTCTCAACAAATGCTGACTAATTGAAAAAATAAGTATGACTGGTACTAGTACATCTATCACATTTATGCTGTTTTATAGATTTTGTGAGAAACTTTACTACCACAATTAGGAAAATAAAGATTCGAGGATTTAGTAAATTCTTAACCTTTCCATTTTTAATTTCGTAAAATAGACTTAAAAACCTAACACTTAGATATTTTACTTTTTTACTTGGATTGCTCATTGTTCTTTTGAGAATAGTTTCTTTAAAAGGGGGTGGTTTAAGATTGAGCTCACTGACAACTCTTGATATGTGAATATAGTTGCTGAGTTCACAAAAACATGTTTAGTTATTGATATATAATGGGACTAACAGTATAAACTCATACTTGTTAAACTTGTTTGGTTTATTCTTAATCAGCAAGAGCATTTTAAGCAGTTTCAGAACTTTTTGCTTAGCATACAAGAAAACTTTTATGATAATGCTTTTGGGGGGGTGTTACAGATGGTAGAGAAAGCTAGATAACATAGAAAAACCCAACTTTCGTGTTCAGTAACACGTTCACGGTTCAGTAAATGAGTTCTGTACTCAATGAGTATAGAATTTATAACAAAATTTATCCTCAATAAGGAATCTAAATAAAACTAATCAGATACTTAGTTTTTTGCAAGGCATTAGAAAAACTTGAGAATTATAGAGGACTGAAATCTGATTTCAGCCAGCTAGTCTAGTTGTTGTCTAGTCACATTCTAGTCCTTTGTGAACTGCTTTTTTCTGTTTAGAAGTTTTATTTCTGGAAAAGGATTTCACTTCAGTTTGTGTAAATACGTGTATATTTCCTTGTGTAATATAAAACATAGATATTAGAATTTCAGTTCTACTTTCAAGCTTAAATTATCCAATTGCTAGACATCACAGAAATATATTTAAGAATTTATTATAAAGCTCCTCTACAACTTTTAAAAGTGAGAGGATCTATTATGATTTTTTTATAAAATCAAATAGCATGACAGAATGTCTTCTACTTAAAATGTCTATATTCATGGTGTTTCCATTCACTGCGGAGAATACGGCAAGGATAACACTTAATAGTAATTAATGGTTCACTTTTAGCTGACCAGAACACTACCTAAAATTGTTTCAGTGACTTTAGAAAATAATCTTGAAGGTTTATGATTACATCAAATTGAATCTTTATCTAGTATCTAAATATCTGCTCTTATGTACTGCTTCACCCTTAGGGATTACCTTCTAAGGTTTGGTCACACCAGCAAACTGATACAGATCTTAATGTAAATACAGAATTTATACTAACATTACTCATCTGTGTAACAGCATTTTAGAAATTTCTGCCTTGTATGTCCACTAGTAGCTAATCTGGTGTTTAAAGTGTTACTGGTCTTTCATGGATGTGATTAGTTACAAATGTTACGCTTCTGTTGGCATACTTAATATAAAGCTTTCTTTGTATAAGACAATTAATTTGCTTATTTTGAGTTCTAAAAAATAAGCAGAGTGAGTTCTGTGGGATTATGCTTACCTTTACCTTTAGTCTCTTTTTTTTTTTTTCACCTTCCAAATCTTAAAGTTATTCACACATTCCTCATTTCTATTAGTGGCAAAATCAGTTGTTAAAATATAATTGTAAGAAAGGTTCAGCTTCTGTCATCCTGAAATAATTGTATCACACTGGATAGTCATTCCCAAGGAACTAACTTTGTTTTTAAGTGTGTGTGTGTGTTCTAAAACTTCTATGTTTATAGAATTTAGAAAAGATGTTGTTATTCAGAACAGCAAGTGTTACTGAGATACTCAAGTTTGTTTTCTTGGTTTTTTTTGTTTTTGTTTTTTAGTTTAAAAATAGTCCGTTTTGTGATTGTTTCTTGGCCTGTTTTGATATTCTTTCCCTTTTCCCTACTTTAATTGACAGTGATGTGTTTAGATATTGAATTTGTTTAGACATTAAATGATTTTGTTAAAGGCACAATTAATCACATTGGTTGTACTTTGAAGACAGACTTTAAAAATAAACAATTTAAAACCATTAATGTGATCATAGATTAATGTAATATTATGGACAACTTAAAGCTCAAAGCTACAAACATAATTCAGATCACAAAAGTGCTTTGACCAAGTTAAAAACCTAAAAGATTACCTTTTTTATACTATCCAGGTAACTGCAAACAAATTTCTCTAAAAGGCGTCAGTGCAGTCTTTTTCTTTTTAAACAATTCTACCTGGAATCACTTAAATTTTTAATCATTCTAAAAATGGGAAAGCATAAACATTTTGGTGCATTTTTTTCTATATATTTGGCGGAAAAATACAGTTCGAAGTATTACTATACATGATTGAGGAAGAAAATGTTTAAAATATGAATTCACCAACTTACGGTGTGAAGACAGGTAAAAAGTTACCTAAATCCTTCTGAACTCCATTTAGTGTAGTGTGCCTTTTCTCTCCTGTACTTCTAGTAGAGTATACTTTATAAACAAATGCTACCAAGTGTTAATGCTGCATTTCTTAGGATTAATGAAAATGGGGTGAAAGAAACTTGAAGGTCTCAGAAATGACCGTTCTGTAGTTTTGGGTCTATATTTAAGTGTGCACGAACCTTTATAATAAAAGCTATTTTCAACTACACTGGTTTTTCCAGTAACAATAGGTCTGCATTGCTGAGTATCCACTACTTAATGCAGATATGGACCAAGATATTTCTATAATTGCTTTTTAAAATTATTCAAATTTATGAACATCCAAATGCTAAAAAGACAAAAATAAAGACCATTTATTTTAATAAATGTCTATTTTAATGTTTTTCACAATAGAATAAATGCTTCTCTTGATGACTGCAGATACGTAAGGCTGTTTGGTAGTATTCAGAACCACCACAGGAATGGTTGTCTTCCTGATTGGTGCGTAGTCTTCAGTAATTATAAGGAATTACTTGTCTGGAACTGCTGTCAAACCAGCAGGACTGCATTTATGCATCCATCATTTTCAGGATTGTTGGTAACCTGGGCATATTTTCCTGAGGAAATAATGGGAAAAGGAGGGGTGTTAATGCTGATAAAAATTAACTTTGCCCTAAATATTCTTAATCACCACTTTGAAGAAAGAAAAAAAATTATAGTAGGATCAATGAGATTTTTACAAATCACTCAAAATCAAATGAGTTCTGAAAACAATTCTTATATACTGTTTTTACATTTTTTTTACAAGTGGTGTTCAGTTCCATTCTGTTAGTAAGTTGTATTAACAAGCCCTTGTGGATTGACCTGAGCATTGTTGCTTTTCCACATAACTTTTCTTACTGGAAAATGCAACAAATTTTAATTTTCAAATCAATTTAACCTATTTTATTTTTAAAAATTTAAAAAAAGGTTTTATTTAGGGGCACCTGGGTGGCTCAGTGGGTTAAACCTCTGCCTTCAGCTCGGGTTATGATCCCAGGGTCCTGGGATCGAGCCCCATATGGGCTCTGTTCAGTGGGGAGACTGCTTCCCTTCCTCTCTCTCTGCCTGCCTCTCTGCCTACTTGTGATCTCTGTCAAATAAATAAAATCTTAAAAAAAAAAAAGATTTTATTTATTTGACAGAGATCACAAATACAGAGGCAGGCAGAGAGAAGGGGAAGCAGGCTCCCCACTGAGCAGAGCGCCTGATGTGGGGCTCGGTCCCAGGATCCTGAGATCATGACCTGAGCCAAAGGCAGATGCTTAACCCACTGAGCCACTAAGGCACCCAATTTAACCTATTTTAAAACTGAGATCCAGCAATAGGAAGTATGAGTTAGTGATTCATATGAAGATTCAAGAA